CCTAGCCAGTTCTTTACAAACTCATGATAAGTTTATTTGATCGCCAAACGACGTCACAATTTCTCCTTCAAATTTAAACCAAGCACAGTGATCTTCTCAGTATTCTTGGCGTCATAAACAAACGTCAAAGGGAGTTGAGGGAGGTATTGAGAAGGCAAACATTGGCTGTATTCAGACTTCGGGTCATAGGAGTTTTATGGGTTGAGTTGGAAAAATAATTGAATAGGGGGAAATTAGGGAAAACAAGTAATCAGCTCATATTGATAAAGTGTGTGAAATTTGAAGGAATTAAAATGGTGATTTTTCAAGAAATTTTTGTCGCGGTTTTAGTCGATTTGATAAAAATATGACCAAAAACTTTCTCTGTCGCATGTAGAATGTTTTTTTAAGTTGACGTGTGGTGTTTGTAAGGTATACATGTTTCTTTCGTAGTAAATCTGAGCGCTGCTCCTTGAGCTTTGCACCTTGCAAGCCAATTTGCCACCCTTGTAATCTTATCTTTAAAAGTTGTAGCAAATCTCGGCGGCGCCAGCAGAGAAAATTTTAAGATTTTGACCCATTGCTGTCCTAATCAGAATATTCACGAAAAATTTTTAAAAAATCTGAGCATCTACCCCCGAGCATTGTGCCTTAGAAAGTATTCGTCGTATTTCGCTATATTTAACTATAATACTTCTCAATCCTCTCTCTCTGAAAAAAAGCTATTCAAAAGCTCGCAACCTCTAATAGTTTGTCTCTTTCTTTGGCTTATCAAAAAAGTGGCTGACAATCTTCATCAGCTAACCCACTTTCGGGCCCCATTTTCAACATCCCTCGTGACAAGCTTGTAAACACCCCCAATGCTTATCACTCCGCTTATTAGCATCGCCCCAGGGAGTTCCAATTCCAACTAACCTCACAAACAAACGTTACCGTGCCCTTTGAGTCGGGGCGGTGGGGGTGACGTTGCATGGGACATTCGAAAGACAGGTAAACAAGCGAGGGTTTGGTAATGATTCAGTGAGCTTTTTCGGTGGATTAGAGTGCTAGGTGAGCTATATGTTTGTAGTAGGGATTACAAGGTTGTCTCGCGTACACAGGGTAATGTTTAAGTGAGGGATTGGCAGTCAGGTGAATGAAAGGTCAGCTAGGATTCTAAATTCAAAGCCAACGCGGATTCAAAAGAAAATTATGCAAGGACGCTGCTGAAACTTTCTTTAAATTTTGCATCTTCGATTGATGTATGTCGCAAGGAAACAAAAGGCCTATCTCAAGTATGAGATAGGCCTTTGTAGGCGCAGCTGAGATAATCAACGGTCTTTTTTAATATTTTATCAGCATGCCGCTTTGCACCTCTTATTGTTTATGTGTAGGTAGGAGTACAATCGAGGGAGGGATTATGACCTCCCACGACGGTAATTCTAGGTGCACACCGCAACCCAAAGTTTACAGCCAAATAACGCTTTCAAAATTAAACGATAGTTGAAAGTTATGACGACATAAGACCAATTCAGGGAAAGAATTATAAAGAAAGCACATGTAGGTGTAAACTAACAATACCTCTTGTCTCTGTATGTCAAATATAACAAAGCAATCGGCATTTCATTAGTGTTTGATTGGTTATTACTCTAGATAATCCCCTTTAAATTTATATTCTTGTACTGCAATTAGAAGGTAAAATACGCCATTCCGAAACGGTGGTAATTCTTCAGAACCGACATAAAAGTTGGTGCGTAATTTATTGGGGTCGTCTAGAAGGTGGAGGTGGAGTGTTTCCGTTCGATGGAACGGGCTGGTCGCCGAACGTGGGAGGGTTAGGATGCTTTTATATCATCGATAGAAATGTGTAGATAATGGGAGTTGGAACACAAGTTAGTACTATATATTATAGTAACGCGGCTTGGCGAAAAAATAGCCTGTAGGCAATCTAAAGTATTATAATTCTCCGCAACTTTTTGCTTCTATATCCTTATATATTAGTCATATTTATCGTTCTTGTATACCTCTCCTAGGCTCTCCCTCTCCTCCCCCGCTCTAATACAAGCTTTTATTGACTGTCTGGAGTCTCGAAAATAGTTCTGTAAACTCCCACATCTAATTGCACTTTATCAACCTCTTATTTCAACACTTGCTTTTCAAATCTCAATTTACGGTCTCCCTAACAATTTTATTGTCCTTCTAATCCCCTAAAACAACAGCTTGAGGTTTTGTATTTCCGCCCCATTCTGTCTTGTCATTCATTAAAAAACAAACAGTAAAAATTACAGTCCAACAACCCCCCTCTCTCGCAAACATTTCTCGTCAATTAATTACCGCCGGCGGTTTATTTTGGAGTGTAAAAAAGGCGTGGGAGTAAAGGCGTAAGGCGTAGGGCGCAGAGATTTGTTTTATTTCTTTTCCTTTTCAGATATTTTTTTGGCGAAACAATTTTAAAAAATTGTGTGGGGGTTTGCGGAATTTCTCGATGCATTTGCCGAATTTTGCAACGATTTTTGGGAACTTTCCATGTTATTCACACATTTTGGTAGCCGATTTCGCGATTCTCCGCAAAAATTGTTTGCTGAATTGCCACCGGAAGTTGTAGAAAATTACATTTGAACAGTGTTGGACATGTTTTTCCGCATTTTGGGATGCTGGCTTATACTCTATAGGTACCCAAATTTATCGCGTAATATCTCAGCAGCGGTCGCAAAGCACGAGTTAAAAATTTCGGTGACTGATTTCTAGGAAATGTAGAGTAAACATTCCCAATTTGAAAAAGTCACGCTTCAGGCCGTTCCCGTTTATTTGTAATAGAAACCATGAGATTTAAATTGAAACTTGCACTTTTTCTCTTCCCCTGAAACGTTCTAAATTTCCACCGAAATTCGATGAAACCGACCCTCCGACTCCCTCGGTTCCCATACTTAGCTGACTGTTTGCATTCCCGAACATACGATCGCCACGAAACATTTGTCGAATATGTCCTGGGGGCGTTCGGCCGACCGAATTTTAAATCGTCAGCGCATTTTTTTTGTAGCATGAAATTTATTTTGCACGCGTTTTACACAAATTACACATGTTTTCGGATCCCATGCACACGTTTTTTCACGAGGTCATATAATCAGAATCCTCGTGGAGATCTCTGAATTATTAGGACAAGTGCTCTTAGGGTGACTCTGCGATTTTCTTCAACTTTGGTATACTCACTCTAAATGGACGGTATGAAACGCTGAAAGCTTTGGTTAAAAATTTATAACCGCAGCCGAGATATTCCGCAATATATTTTCAAATAAATGAAGGGTCTAGCTCGGAAACTGTAGCCTTTTTAAGGCCATCAATGATCCTCCTCAAGTCTTTTACAAGTCCCAAACTGGCCCTCTGAGCCCTCCAAACTTCCTAAGACCCACACTCCATGCTACTATATATGTCTCTATCACTTAAAAATTCAGTACAACATCGCTGATTAACTATTCACTCCCACATCACCGGCGAATGTGTTTATGGGTTACATCTTGTAACCCGCGCCGTTATTTGTTATTTTATGGGCTTCGGATTACACGACCGAAAAGGAGGATGGATACACGGACGGATGATGTGAGGGCGTGCTCGGATAACGTTCCCGCGGGGTTCGGATTCGCGGTGCAGGTGCCGGGGATGGGTCGGGAAATGGGAGGTGGGGTGGGTGCATTTCTGGTTTACGGTAGAATTTAAAATACGTTGGATGTAACCCCATGTTCTTTCAGTAACAAAAGGTGTTCTATTCTTTCACATAAGTATACTAAACATCTCTTGAAACTTAGATATTTAATCTAAGCTTTTATGTCGAATTTTTTGAACACAGTTGTCTTGTTTCGAGATTTACTTGCATACTGTTGCATTTCCCGTTCAATCCACCGCTTTTTGGCCATTACACTTTCCGAATATAGACTTTGAAATGAACTCCGTCCGCCGAAAATCAAAAATTCCCGTTCTTTATTCGCCAAACTCTTAATGTATGGATATTGAAATGTGCGTAGAGCCCTAATTTTACACTTTCTCTTGACGCTATTTTCGGGGCACGGTGGATATGCATCATAAGTGAGTATCGAGAGTTTCACGTTGAAGGTATTTGTTGGGATTAGGCGCCCATTTCCGCCGCATTCATCCCTCCAATTTGTTTGGGCTTCGCCTACGCTACAATTTGTGCTTTACACTCGCTCCCCGGCCTCCCCCCTGCCTTCACGAATCTACATCATAATTGGCGGGGCCTACAAAAGGCGCGCGTTTACATTTACGTGGTAATTAGCCGGCTCCCTCACTCCTCTCTGCCTCCTTTTCCCCCTCTAATCGCACTTACACACCTCTAATTACTTCGCGGTAATCCCCCGATGTAATTACACCGGTTCAGCGGCCGAGGTATTCCGCGGTCCCAGCGAAGTGATGTAAGCCGGGTGAATGGTTTTTTTGGGGGCGCTTAATACCGGGCCGGATTAAGATTACACCTTCAGATTGCATGTAGCTATCTGGGCATCCTTTGTCCAGAGACAGAGAAGCCGGATTCTGCGGGGTGTGGGTCGAGTTTTGGGCCCGGATTTGAACGTTTTACATTCAGTGTTATTGCACTTATGGCGCCTCCACTTTTTTCTGTTTGTCTGATAATATTATCGAACGTTAACTTGCAAACACTTTTTCGTCCTATAAGTGAGGTAAATCGCTTAAATTTAGCCCTCCCCCATAGAGCAGGACTCGTTTATTATCGGTTTGACGGCCCGCAAACTTGGCCCGGTTTCGCACAATTTTTGGCGATAATTGAATTCCGTCTCACCCTCTCCATGACTCTTTAAATTTTTCCCGTAAATTTTGCCAAAATTCGCCGACACGCACATGACGTTTTGGCGAATTAATTTACTTTTTGCGGTCGGCCCATGACCGATATCTTCTACTCTCCATTTACACCCAATTTTCGCGTGGTTTCCATCGAGTGCTTCGGGCCGTTTCGAAACATTTCGCAGCCGTTTTTTGGAATTATTTGGTGAATAACTGAGTGTATTTTGCAGACAATGCACGGGCTGACCGTAGCCGAGCCGATGGAGCATCAGAACGGTCGAGGTAGGCTCCTTATCAATGTGTTTTATTGTATTTGGATTGTGTTTCTGTGCGTTTTATCAAACTTTTTGCGGAAATTGAGTCAGGGAAGTTTTTGTTTCGAAACCGAATTGGGACTATTAAAGAAGGTACCAAAAAGAATACGTGATGACCCGCAGAGCTAAAAAAAAATTTAACGTCTTTTGCAATTTTTTTCCAAAATAAGCGTTTAATTTATAAAACCCATTTTCAGCCCGGCCTCCGATGCTGCAACTCCCCAAGCCCACTCCTCAACGCCCATCGCAGCTCTTCCCCAATTTGAATATCCCCCAAATCACAGCCCAAGCCGCTTCTTCAATCGAATCCCCGGCTCCCAGACCACGAACTCCGCCGATTGGAGCGGTCGTTTTCAAGCCAGAGGAACGGAGCGTGGATGGTTCCGATGGATTCAAAATGCTAAAGGTATGTCTGGGAATTAATCTCGAACAGAAACCATTGAACGACCTCACCTCATGATCTCCGCTCACTTTTTGTAGGAATTACGAGTGCAAAGAGTGGTTAAAGAGTCAGGAAAATATGTTGAAGAGGATGAATGGCCAAGATATTTGTGTGCCTTATGACTGATCGCAAAATATTTGAGATCAGAAATATACTGAAAATTCAGGCCGTTTCTTTTATTTTTTTATTTGGCATGCTGCCATTTTGCTGACATGGCACAAATTTAGTTTATATGATACTTTTTGATAGCAAGTTCGAGTGTCCCGGATCTCATTTTCAAACTTTCTGCCATAAAATCATTTTCGGAACAGTGTCTGCAAGTTCCAGATGCTATTCTGCCGCTATATTCATTCAAAACGCAACCTTATTCCTCACAGATCTATTTAGAGTTGATGTCCCATTAATCAGTGACGTCATCGAGAACATCCCTCTCTTTCTCCCCCGATTCTCCGCCATTCTCCCGCTATTTTGTGTCGCGTTAAAAGAGCAATAGATAAATAAAAAAGCGGTGATAGCACAGGTGTTTTGATTTAACGGGCCCTCTCAGGCGGGAGGGTGGGAGTGATGTGAGGGAGTCGAAGGGGAAGGTCAGAGTGGAACAGGTGTCGCGATAAGCATAACTGTTATCCCCCCGTCCGGATCCCAGGAAATCCGCCTCGAGGTCTTGGGAGTGGGGTTTTCCGCAAAAAATGCGGCGAAATTTCGCGGGCGATTTGATTGACTAGACAAAACTTTTACAATATCATTATTTAATGTAATGGGTGTTTGACTCTTTGACCTCCGAATTTCCTCTTTTTAAATCAGAATTGTGATTTTTTTCGGCTGAACCCCGAGTGATAGGTCTCTTAAAAACTGGTAAATACTTTCGACATTGTTTTCGCTTCTTTTAAAATTGACCCGACTAAAAATAGGGTTTATTTATCACTGGCGGTTCAAGAGTCTAATGGTTTATTTGCAGACTCCCCCATTGATTTGTGAACAAGGCCCTAGCGCCCCTTCATCACCGACAAGCCCTGGCTGCAGATCACCGAAGCGCCCGTCACCATTGAGCGTCGATGCCCTCCAACGCTTCAACCTCGTGAGTACTTCGATTATTTCAAAATGAGAGTCTTTTTGGACAATTTCCAACTCGCCAATTGTCCGAAAAATCATTTTAAAATACGAAAGGCTCAAGATCCCTTACATACAATCGAATATTTTACAAATTTTGCATTTCAGCTAAGCCCCAATTACGTTCCAAGCATGGATTCGAACAAATTGTCGCCATTGTCTCCGTCCTATCCCACGTCTGATCTGGGCAGCTCTCCACGTTCATCCATTTCGATTTCCCATTCGGGTCTTGGCCCCAATTGGACCGCTTTCCGCGAGTACAAGAAGTGCAGCAGTGAATTCGACAACGAATCGGTTCGTGACGGATTTTTGACGCCGGGAACAGCGTTGTCGCCGGCGCCATTTTCACCGTTCTCCGACTGTCTGGACCCGCCGGAAACCCCATATTCCAGCAGATCACCGGCATTGTCGCCGGTCCCTATGCGCCATTCACATTTCAGGTGAGATTTCTGACATTTTGAAGGCTTGAAATAGCCATATTTTAGAAATAATTATGACATTAAAAACTCTATTTTCAGTTTCGACCAGATTCGCAGTCGCAGTTCCATGTCGAATCGTGGCCCTGAAACCCAGGAACAAGCCCGTCTTTTACTCCCTCAAGCTTCGTTGGACCTGGAATCCCGCGAACGCTCCCGTTCGGAGGGTGAGATGCTGAAGAAAGAGGAGGATGAGCTCATGGACCTCACCACCATCAACCATTCCACGGTCTCCGTACCCGTTTCGAATAGCGGTGGTCAATACAAGAAGCGATTACTCCACAAATATCGACAAGAACAAAAAATGAAAGCCTCTTTCAATAGCACAATGAGTAGCACTTGCGACGAGGGAAGTACGGTTGCAGCACAAAGCAGTATAGACCACGAAGAGACGGATCAAAGTGCAAGTCAACAGGTTTCAAGACAGCCCACGATAGAGGAACCACCGCCATCGCCCACTTTCAATGAACTCTTCCATTCGAGAGACGTAAGTGACCACATTATGACAAGTTCAACAAGGTGCCTCAAACGTGCTTCGGTTTTCTTCAAATTTTCAATCACACCCCACATAATACGGTTGATTTGGGTATTACATCTTGTGGGTAAGCAGAGTTCGAAGAAACCCGAAGAACACACTTGGTGTACGTCCTAAAAAGGATTACTCCAAATTAACCAAAACTAACTTCAAAATTTTCAGTTAACAACCGAACGACAACGTCAAGTTGAGGAATGGATAAAACAACAAGCCGTAGCGTTAGAGGTTCTCAAGAACACCATGGTCCCAATGAGACAAGAGACCAATCTTTTGCAAGTCCCCAACTTGGGCGGTCAACCCCCGGAACAGCACCTTCCTCGATCTCTGGTCAAGATGTTCACCACGACAGACATGAGTTCGAATGCCCCGGGGCCATTAAAAACGGCTACTCTTTGGAGAAGGTCAAGGTCCGAGAGTGATGTTACACAACCGCAGAACGATACATCGTTTATCTGCGAGCATTGCGGACAGGTACGCAGAAAAAGTCATGTATAAAAAAATTTGTATCAACACAATAAGCAAATTTATGTTACCTATGAGCTTTTGACCCCTAAAATAAATACAAACTAATTCCGATTATTTCCAGGGATTCTCAATGCACGATCGTTTGGCCAAACATATTGCCTCAAGACATCGTGATCGATCGGCCTCGATGAATGATGAGACCTCAAAGACACACAAATGTACTGTTTGCAACAAATCCTTTGGCAGATCGGATATGCTGACAAGGCATATGAGACTTCACACCGGCCTAAAACCGTATTCCTGCCAAATTTGTGGCCAAGTCTTTTCGAGGAGCGATCATTTGAGTACGCATCAGAGAACACATACCGGAGAGAAGCCTTATCGATGCCCCCATTGCAATTACGCAGCGGTAAGTGCAATTTTGACGGCTAAAGTTGAAGAATACTCTCGTATACTAGACTTTGAAGACGCTTAGGACGACTAACAAGCGATTGACAACTAAAAATCCCGTTTTTTTAGAGTCGCCGCGACATGATTACCCGTCATATGAGGACCCATCCCGGCTCCACCTCTCCATTCACCGAGATCCAAGTCCCCCTCGGGCAATTATCCCTGAACCAACCTTCGACTCCCGAGCCTCCCCGATCCACAACTCCCCCACCTCTACACCATCAACATTCTCTTCAATCCGTTTTGAGTACAGCATCCAATCAACTAAATCCCCCGTCAAATCCGGATACCGCGATGGAGCAAGCCGCGAGATTGTTCCAGGCAGCTGCTACAGGAAATATCAGCCCTCAAGTCATGCTCAGCACGCTGGGACATTCGTTAGACAGTAAGTTTTAAGGGATTTTTTTGCGGAGTTTATATTATCCATGAGATAAACAATCAGAAAATTACATTTTCATTGCGCCTATGACATATTTCCGGCAGGAATACAATCTTTTGACCTTTACAGACACTAAACTTATTGAATTTTAGTAGAAAATTGATTAAATTTATATTATCCTTTAAAATTTTTAGGAATTTGATGGAAAAACTTAATGTTATTGCCTTTTCCACAATTTATTCCTGCAATATTCGCAGTATGCCCTTTTCGTGCTCTATAAAGACTAAAAATCGAAGAATAACGAATTTATCCATGACCTTGTTACCTAAAATAATATTTTCTCAATTTTCAGCTCAAATCCCAACTCTGAACCTCCGCAGATCGACCCCAAATCTCTTCCAGTCCCTGGAACAAACCCCCAACAATGCGCAGGCAATAAACGCGGCGATATCCCGACTCCTTTCACCTCACGGAACTCCCCTTCTCTCGAGACAAGCTTCTATTGGCGGATTCGGCTTCAACAACGACATGAATCCACCGGGATAAGCTCCGAAACTTCACACAGATTTCTACTCGCATCTCGATAGACATGACCTTATCACACATGAACTAAATTAGTTGATTCACCCGCCTCAAATCTATATACGATTAGATCACAATATCAGACAAGAACAAAACTAACACAAAGTAACGATGGACCGCTTTTTTCTGACTCTAAACGGTTTTCATAGCCTCTCCAAACCGTCTATTACCTTATTTATGCGGATTTTCGGCCTGAAACCGAATGCCAAAAATTGAGAGTTTTCCTGTTGAGACCAAAAATGAGAATTTTTCGGCGGAATTTGTGCGGGAATTCGAGGGTTCAGGCGAAGATTTGGCGCCAAAACTTTAATAATTGTGATTTTAACTAGTATTCTTACTGTACATTGGATCAATATCAAATGAAAGTCATATTTTCTGCAGCCCTCCAACACTTTTAATCAGAGTTTTATGAATGTCCAGTATTCTCGATTAACCGTTATTTTTGTACAGAATTTTATCTCCCCTATGTTATGTTTTTGTTATGTAAATTTATTTGAAGAGAATTTTGAAAATAAAATTTTCAATTTTTGTGATTGCATTTTTGATGACTGTATATAGTCAAGTAAATTGATATAAAATTAGGGAAAGTGCGGTAAACAAATATGATTGTTTTCGCGGTGAAACGCACACCTTTAGCATTTGTCACGAAAAAACAAGAAATGCAATTTTTCGGAAAAAAATTATTTTTTGCTGGTCCAGAAGCCTTGGCATCACAATTTATGTAAAATTGTACGTATATCTCGTGGCTTCAAGGCCTAAACTTTAACGTCACCAGCCCTAAAATGAACCGCTTTGTCCTTCCTCAACTCTCGTATTTCGGCAACCCATTGGTCATCGCAAGCTATGAGAACTCTCATAAAAATCAAGTGCAATGTCTGAATTCGACGTGCATTTGCGCATGTTTGAGTATTGGGGTGAAAAGTCCATCTATATTCATATCATCATATAAGTGGAGGCGTCTACTATCCCTAGCTTTTCTTGTTTTTATTTTGAACTAAACGTAGAGTTCGAATGGCTAAGTGAAAGTCAGCACGGTATGCACTTAGAGTGCCCTGAGGCAGCTGATGTAAAGGTTTGGGGAGGAAAACAGAAAACGGAAGTTGAGGAATTCGTTTTGACGTTTGAGGTCCATTTGGCAGAAAGCTCAAGATTCGAATTTTTCAATAAGGTTGATTTTGTTATTGTTGTTTGAATGTGTTCAAAAGTGTAACGCTTTTATTATATTTCGCACACATGCTGGGTCGTATATGAATGGGTCGTATATGAATGCGTGAAAATTTTAGCTCCCGCTTTGAAGGGGCAGTTGAGACATTCAACGATCTTGGCCGGCGAGAATGCGCGTAATGCGGAGAGCGGTGAGAGAGAAAACGTTTATTGGCCGTATCTCTGCCAGTTTCATAAGCAAAAAAATTTTTTTTGTAGGCTCCGGTAAAAATAAATGTGACATTTTGCATGGATAAAATGATCCATTAAAAGCGTCGCACGGATTCCTCTGTAAATTCCGAACACTCCTCCAATCATCTCACTTGCCATTTTTATATTCCTCAATCTCCTCATCCCTGGCCCACCTCAGGTATCTGTCACCCCCGAACTCGACTTTGAAAGGTCTCAGCGAATCTCTTGTGACAGCCGGTCCCCGTTTTTGTCCCATTAAACCGGGCTTTATGACAAGTTTTGATGTTCCCCCGGAGATCGAGGGCCATCGCTTTTCTTGTTTTTTTAGAAAGGTGGGGTCATTTGCAATTTGAAGGCCCGTTTGCAGTTTTCGTCGATTACTAGCAATTAGTAATGGTCATAAGTTCGTGGTTTGTATCATTGAATAATTTACAAGGGGGGTATAATTACGATGCGACCCTCAGGCTTTTATTAAACGAAAATTTAGTATTGATATTTATGCAAGGTTTTTGGCTCGCATTATGGAGAAATAACCATTATTTCGGTGCAGTTTGACTTCAAATTTTAAAATGATGATTACTCAATTCATACGACCACTTGTAGTCTAGTTTTTTCACAAGTGATGCGACAATTAAGTATATTATTAGCTGGAGTGCTCGAAAAAAACATTTCTGGATTATCCAGATAATTCCTGTCGTAAAAAAGGGCTGGGCAGGATTTCATGGTTTGTTTAAGGTCATGCTCTGTTTTTGCGGGAAGATATCCTTACGGCCAGTACGGTAAAATTAAGCTGTTTGTTTTTTGTAAACAAGTGAGACGGTACACATGTTTACGAGGCCTCATTAGCATTTCATTTGAAAAGAGATTTTTAGATCCAAGATCAAAATGCGACACTTTTTTGCGAATTTTGGCTAGAAAGGTTTTATGATAGAGGGTAATTTGGCCACAAAAAAAAACATATTTTTTTCATATGAAACGCCAAATATGTGGCCTAATATTGTTTTTTCTATCACCGTTCTCCGCTTTTTCTTGTACTCTCTTGGCGGCAAAGATCATTGAATACCTCGGCTGTGTCTGAAAAGCTAAAGCCAAAACTTTCAAAAATTTTTATATATTTGAAGTGGGTGTAAAATTGAAAAAAATCTGAATAGAATGACTAATTTTCTTCATTTTTCTTACAACCGTTCTAAGTATACGCCCGCTCATTTGTCATCATTTTTTATCATTAGCCCCTATTCTCGCCTATAATCGACTTATTCATTCGTAAGCCGCTTACCATTGGCAATTTCACTCGTTTTTCAATTTTTTGCAAACTCACGTATTTGATTAATACCATCATAAGTAATTGCCGAAATTGTCTCCAGGATAATCTTGCCGTAAAAAAGATGAATTAAGTTGTTTTCATGATGTTCCAAGACGTCGATTTTTTACATTGTATTGATATCAGGCTGCCGGGAAAAAAAATGACCACAATAAGTCGCTGAAGCGGAAAGCAATGTGATTTTGCTGCGACAAAATTAATTTTTTCGATGGTGACGCGATTTTGGATGCGACATTTCGCTCGTTATTTTTCCGACAGACTGACATTTAATTCTCTTAGATGTTTGAGCCCGTAGACGATGTTGTTTATAGCCTCTTGGGTCCAGAGGTTTATCCGACCCTCTTCAGAAACGTTCTACCTTAATCGTTGTACGAGTATTCTCTGATCCGGCTTTTTCAGGTAATACGGTCCAAGAAAATGTTAAAGACGGCTTGCTTTGTGACGAAGAAATCTCCCGAATGTTTGAGGAGGGATTTGTTGGGGTTGGAGGAGGGGATTAAGCAGGATACGGTATCATGAAATGGCAAGGAGCTTGTTATGGAACGGTGGGGACATATTCGCTCTGTATTTAGCAGCAACCGGGCGGGATGCATTAAGGTTTATTTCCAGAAGAGATTATTAGATGGATTTGAAGAATCTGTCATCTTTCGCTCGTGTTTGTAATATAACCACCGTTTTTTAGCGAAAAATGGCAAACGAAATTTTTGAAAATTTCCAGTGCAAAAAATTAAAAATTCTCATTGCTGTTGGGGTATACATGTCTAGGCCGACTCTCCTCATTTTGAGTGCAGAGAAGCCTTGCCGTATACATTTACAAGTTTCATCGAGTTCAAGCTCTTAACGCGTATGTATTTTTGTTATTCCGGCCCTCACCAGTTCACTGAGTCCGAGTTTGCATTCGCTTTGCAATTTCAGAGCCCAACATTAAATAGCCCAGCGTCTAGACCAAGCCATTGTCTCAGTATTTGCTGTTTCTAATGAGTTCAGCCTCCAATTTAGACCCTTCCTCCGTTTTATGTCTTCAGATTACTTTGTTACCCCTTTTTTAACGAGCTTTTTGGAAAAAATATTTTTAAAATTTAAAAATTCCAATTTTCCCAAAAATCAATTTTTTTGTTTTTCCGTTATTTGCCAATTTATTTTTATATTAAACTCCAAATTCCTTCCAGTTTGATGTTTGTTCAAGAGGAATTCCAATGATTTCCAGACGAAAACTCGTATCATCAGATGGGAATCATCCCTCACGGCTTTTATGATTGCAAAGGGCCAAGTGTTTTATGGTTTTGAAAAGGTTTTGAGACAATACATATGCCGTAAACTCCGGTTCTTCTATTTTGCTGATCTGAAACCGAAATGCCTGGGGGTTTACGGGATTTTTGGGAATTTGCAGAAAAGAATAAAAAAAATAAAAAATAGAAAGTAGAAAATTTATATTATCTCTTTGTTTAGGCCACGATATGGCGCCTCGGGCATTTTAAGATTAATATCGAGATAGTAGCCGAAAAATTTACATTATGTCCTACCATAAATTCTCTGGCCTTTCTAAGCTCCTCTTTGCACGCCAACGGCATAAGAACCTCAATTATAAATGCAAAAACGCATCTAAATTTATGTTGAACTTGGGTTTTGCAGTTGAAAAAAGACGCGATATATTCAGGCGACCGTTTTTTCCCCGAGGGCATCCTGGGTGGGCGGTATTTTTGCCATGCCTGAGGGGGTTTTCTCGTGATAAATTGGGTTTGCGGCCCATTGTGGAGTGACGTTCCGAACTGTCTGTTTCTCTAATGTGCTCGGGCTCGTTTCGGAACGTTTCATTAATTTTAAATTTTGAAAAAACGACGGTCTAACCGGACCGGGTCTTAGCTTCGTTTTCTAAGAGACATTAGAGACATCACACGGTAATTTCTGCAAGTTCAAAAAAATCAGCCACATTTTCTTTCTATTATAAAATACAAAACCGTAAATTTACAATAAATGAAAGGCAATTTTTTAAAGAAAGCCAAGACCAAGGCAAACCAAGGCTCGGACTGAAGTTCTCATCCTGAGGCTGCTGAACTTCAACCAAGTTTTTTTTTTGCCTTCATTCTCTCAACTGATTCCACCGTAGCTATTGTATTATAAAATACGAAAGTTAAATTCATGATGAGACTATTTTCGCTTATTTTCGAAATTCTAGCGTAATATCGCGCCTGGGAATGTTTGGAGAAGTTCGCAGATTTCCGTCTTTCCGAAATTTTGGATTTTCAAA